AACATTGTCACTATCATCGATAATATAGTGGCAATAAAAATTTATCCTAATTAGGGACGAAAGTTTGAAATTGTCACTAAACATATTAGTGACAACAAAATATTCCGTCACTAATGATTGATAGATACTAATTAGTGTCAATATATTTTGACACAAAATTTTTTTTTTGGGCTGAAAAATAGTTTTTACGTGGCGGAAACATACATTTTACTGATGAAAGTTTAAAATATTAGTGGCGACAAATTTTGTCGCTATTGAAAGTGATTCAATGATGATATAGGATTATCACTAAAGGTTTAGATTATTTGTGACAACTTGTGAAACTTATCACTATTAACTTTTAGTGACACATCAATAGTGACACCCTAGTGGCAATTTTTTTTTCGTCACTAACTACTTTTGTGAAATATTTTAGAGTTTTAGTGACAAATTTTCTTTCCACTAAAGTTGCTATTTTTTTGTAGTGTAAAGATGGAATGGAAATGTAAATGAAACTTAGCTCAATACTTGCATGAATCATGAGCATAACCTAAGTTATACACTAGTAATACAAAGTACAAAGGAAAGTACCATCCATCATTTAAGGGAGGTATATAACAATGAAGCATAAAGAAAAGAGTGCACAATATCATAGCTCAAGTAATATTACCCAAGTCCTTTCACCCTCACTAAAGAGCAAATGAGAAACTATCCGCTCTTCATAGCTATGGACAAACTAGAAAAGTGGGACAACCTTATCCCTCCAATTAAGGTTGAAAATATAATACAAGAGAATTGAAAACTAAATCAAAATATCTAAACTCTTTCCCAAGGATAGATTGAAACATCACCACCCTTCTTGGCATAGGCATGGCCAGGAAAAGTTAGAGAAGTTTAACCCTCCAAGTAAAAAGAGAAAGTAAAGAAATGTAGAAGGAAGATATTTAGAGAGGTTTATATGAGAGAAATTCTCTTCCAAAAGGTGAGTATCTAAAACTAGGAAGAAGGGGGTATTTATAGAGCTTCATGGATGGCAGAGGTGGAAAGAAGAACCAATCAAAGGCAGCCTTTCATAACTTGGTGGACATGCAAAGAGCAAGGTGGTTTAGGACCGTTCAGACGATGGTGGCTCGCGTCCGGACTGTGGTGATCCATTGGAATTCCTTTTTTTGGCTGTTAACCTTGCAACTTGAGCCTACAGGCAAATTTGGATTGTGGATAAGCGTTCAGACAGTGGCAGTCTACTTGAAAATTTTCACTTTTTGCTACTTGGTCCTTAAGCTTTCCAATTTCATTCCTTTGGTCCTGTAATTTCAAAGTACCAATTTACCACCCATTATTAATAATATAATCTACTTCCAACCTATATTTAATTAATGCAATTAACCTTTATATATATATATATATATATATATATATATATATATAATGTAACTTTTTAGGGTTAATCATTCCTACTTCGGCTAGAATTGGTAAGTGAACTTAGATACCTTTATAAACATTGGAATTATTTTAAAAATGTTTCCGAGAATTGATTTGTGTGATGTATACTTAATTACTATGAAAAACTTGATTTTTAAGTGTAAAATTAGGCCAAAGTATAGGCCACATTCAACCAAAATATAAGGGTACATATTTGAGCTCATTTGGAACTATTTCGAATGGTTTTCAGTAGTTGGCATTCCCCTTGAGAAAGTTGGTAGAGGTTTCAAAAAATTGTTGTCACTTGCGCTTGCATGGCACTTAAGTGGGAAATCGCACGATAAAGCAACTGTGACGCATCAGAATCCTATTTCAATTAGAATACCTATGCATACTTCATTTCTAGGTTTTTATTATAAATATAAAATCCTAGGACATTAAGCTTAGACAAATGAGAAAAAAAAAGCTTTTGAAGAGCTCTTTCAGATCAATAAACCCTAGTTGCCTTTAGAGGAAAACCTTGAAACATTAAACCCTAAACACTCTTTTTTCTCCTAGATTTTCAAATCAACAAGAGTGTTCTAGAGAAATTGCCTAGAAATTTATTGTTAAAATCTTCTCAGTATTTTTTCAATAGCTGCATCACTCAGAAGATTAAGTGACACGAGTTTTCTCTGGGAATGCCAATAAAAGACCGACCACTATATGCTGAAACAAGTGTAATTAATCTAGAGGGGGTGAATTGGACTTGTACACTCTAGCACAAAAATTTATTCCCAAATAAACCTATTCTACTCAATTACAATTTAGTTAATCAATTAGCTCAATTAACCCCTTGGTTAGATATATGTTTGTAATTGACTAATTTCGTGGAGTTCATTGTAAATCTCAACATATTCCATAGTCATGATACTACAAAGATTTAAGATCCGAAAAACATCATTGAAGGGAGGAGATTAAGTATCAATACTATATCATTCACTCTTTGGTTGCACCTTCAAGCTTAGAACAAAGTTAATGACCTAGATATCAAAGATGATTCATTGGTTTAATTGACTTAGGAGGATTAGAGTAAAAATAGAATGATGAATTAATCCGTAAATGGCTTCTATGTATTTTTAAATGAAAAAGATTTTCTACATCATTTATGTTTTGAAAATATAGTTTTAGTAATGAGCGGACCCCTCTTGAGCGACACTATTTAGTGCTCAAGAGGACAAGTTTTTTACCTTGATTTTATGTTTAACTAAATAGCAAAATTATGTAGAAAATATAATATTTTTATATATCGACATATATTATTTATTGCATATATTTCTTTTTTTTTTTATGTTTATTACCAATAAACAATTCAAAAAATAGGGAGAAACACCGGTATGAACAATTGAATCTTATCAAATTTATATTACGTGAATTAAGTCCTACTTTTCAAAATTGGCGCTAAAGAAGTCCTAATTCTTAATTGTATTTCTTGTTTTGTTTTTCCCTTTATCTTTTTTGAATAGAAATCACCAAAGTAAAATGAGATATGAAATCAAGGGTGAGATTTTTTTCCTCATCGCCATCACTTGATTCTTTATAAAAATCACTACTAGCCATCTCATTCTCCCAAATTCTTCCAAGGTAAGGCAATCTCTCTTTAGTGGTTCTGGGCCTACCTTTGTCTTTAGCAGTATTGATTAGACAGGATTCTAGGCTGTTCTGTTCAGCAAGATACTGAAGCATGGTAGAGCATAATCAAAAGGCTAAATCCATTAGCTAAAAGCCGAAAACTCAAAACCGTGCATGGATCTTACCAGTTTCCAAGGAGTACGAAGGAATTTTTCGATAAGAAACAAACATTTTATTGATAATCATAATCATAACGAAGAATTATAGGCGTGAAGTTGAACAAGAAGTCCAACCCAGAACGGACAAACAAGCTTGCGGCCATAAACAAACCAAAAAAAATACACAAGCACTTCCAAAGCCAAATTGTTAACATCGGCAAGATGCTGTACTGCTCAAAATAATACAAAAAAGAGAGACATTCTCGAACCCCTTAGGCACCGAAGCCCAAAAAGAAGCTAAAAAATAAGTCATTTCCTATAGACCCTCCAACTCTTCCATTTTGTTTTCAAATATTCTTGCATTCCTCAAACAGTGAAAAATAAACAATGTCATAGTATCACACCTTTCCCACCTCCACCTAATCCTTTAAAATCCACACATAACATTGATGAAATAGATCTCGGGACCACGCAATAAAGGCCCACCAACTCAAATAATTTATTCCACAACGACAATTGGACACCGAAGGAATAAATGATCCACACTTTCACTACTACCTCTACACGTAATACACCATTGTGGGCTCAAACAAGTAGAATGCATCCTTTGTAACATATGGTAAGTATTAATTCTATCATAAGCAATTACCCATGCACAAACTTGTACTTTAAATAACATCTCAGCTCTCCAAATCTTCAATGACGAATAAAAAAAAAGGAATTGAAGGAATCATCAATCAATGAATCAAAGTAGGACTTGTATGAGAATAACTCCAATGAGTCAATGACCAACACCTTTTATCCACCCCATCAAGACAGAACGGGATTTAATTAAGCAAGGAAAGAAGTGACACCAACTTTGAAGAGACCATCATTTAAGTTTTTATTGAGCCCAAAATCCCAAGATATTGGTATGGAATAAGACCTTACAAAAGAAGCAACACTATAACCATGATAACGAGAAAGGATAACTCTCAAAGGAAATAAACTTGACAATGACAACCCAACCCAAATATCCTCCCAAAGCCAAACTCTTATCCCATTACCTACAATAAACTTAACCTTTAAAGAGAAGAAAGGTAAACCTTGAGAAATGAATTTCCAAGGATTTTGGTAGCTTCCCATATCAACCTCATTAGCTTCCCATCCATTAGCTAACAAGCCATACTTGCTTTTAATGACCATGAAATTGCCACATTACATCCTCAATCAAACAAAAAGGTAAGAATGTGCTCCATTTAAAGGAAATTGAGTACCAGATTTATTGAAAGCACTTAAAAGTAATAAACAGGAAAGCTTGTCAGAAAAGGCAACACATTTTACTTTTGTACTACATTGCTACTTATTATTTGATTAATGGTGTAATGTGAGAATTTTAATAATTTAATGTGTAAATTGAGAATCTTTTAGGATGCAACGTTTCATTCACCCTAAGAAATAGGACTTCTTTGGAATCAATGATGAAGAATAAGACTTAATTGTCCTAAGATATATTCGATTGGGTGTGTTTTGAGAGGAAAAGTGACTTATTAGTGTTTTTCGTGAAGAAAAAACCAATATTCTGGATTGCATTGGTCTAGGGACTGGTCTAAGGGCCCAGTTGGAAAATGTGGACCAAGGTTTAGAATTTTAGAGTGGTCCTAACCTGGTGCGGACCATGCCCAACCTAGTGGTGGTGGTTGAATGCCCTCGTTCCATAACTTTATAAATGTTTTTCGTTAGAGTTTTTGTGGGATTAAACCTGAGATCTAGTCGGTACTTAATGATGATGTTGCCATTATTACCATTTTCATTGTCATCATTCATTTATTTTTGCACTCTTTCTGACAGGTTTGGCCTGTCTTTTCAAGAACATGAAGATGAATCTAATGGTTCTGAGGTAGATTTAGATGAGATTGGCAAGCCTCGTTTTTCTTGCATAACAAAAGTCGTTGGTTTCCTAGACAAGGAACTTGCTGCTAGTGGTTTTACTAGAAAGGATCAGGATGACATTGACAAGGTATGATGAAACATTACCATTTCTCCATTGTTTTGGAGGGTACATTTTTCAATATCTTCATATTTAGAGTGTTTTTTTTTTTTTTGATAAAAGAAGAATTTTATTATAGAAAGGAATAAAGAAACATATTACAATGGACAAGATATCTTTAGCACATGAGTGACTTAAAAAATAACATAGGGAAAAAGGTCAACAAAAAGAGAAAATAAAACTAATGCAACGCCGCCATCCAATTCTTTTGATGATTTGACAAAGACATCCCTCTAAAACTTCCAGTGAATTTGGTCTAAAATGAAGTCATAAAAATCAATCACTTGTATACTAAATTAGAAGGAAGAGAACAATTATTAAAAATTCTAGCATTTTTCTCTATCCAAATACACCTAAGAATCTCCATGATCACATAATGCCATGGTACTTTACCTTCCTTTTTATTTCCAAAACACTAAAACTTAATCTGCAATATTTGCTTTTCTATAGAATGGCTCACCATTTGAACTGAAGAATATATTCCATAAGTTTCATGCAAAACTACAATGAATAAATAAATGAGCATTCGATTCTCCACTGCTCAAACAAGTAATGCAAATGTTAGGACTCAATGCTTTATAGGGCCTCCAAACTTGCAATAAATTGTTAGTGTTCATCCGATTAAGGACAACGGTCCAAATAAAATCCTTAATTTTTGAAGGAACGTTGGGTATTATAATAAAATTAATACTAGATTAAACATGGGTATTATAATAAGATTTGTTTGTGACGATACATATAAATGTGCATGTAACGATAAAAAATCGAACATTAATCGTGCAATACTTATATTTTAAATAACAATATTTAAATTTTTTTCGTTTAATTATGTAATTTAAAATTAAAGTGAAAAGGAAAAAATAAGAGAGAAGAGAGAGGTAGGTGTTGATTAATGAAGTTGTTTGACATTGGAGAGTGTGTTGATTAAGTTTTTGATATTAGGGACATGAAGATGATGTTTTTGAACGAGAAAAAATATTTTAAAATGAATTTTATACCATTGGATCAAAATAGATAAAACTTGGATTAATCTTAATCGTTGTTAATAATGCATGAAGGGATGAAAAAGAAGAATAGCCTATGAAGCACTGATACTTCATATAGGTCGACATACCTGTATCGAATACTCGAGAATATGTATTGGATACGCATTATACATATCTGATAATTAATAAAATGTGGATGCTTCATAGATACTTATACATATGGAGCAAAATGTACAATTTTCAATTATAATCTATGACATTTCCTTTTGATTTTACATACATTACAAAATATTACCAAATTCGATTCGATTTTGAAAATGCGAGTGTTTTTTTAAGTATTGTCTGCTATAATATGTTAAGAGTATAAAAAAATGAATTAGTTACACTATAACCTTTGAAACAAATACTTGTAAGCAAACTAACTAGGTAAATGTTGCTTCTAATTCCTTTAATTGGTTATGTTCACTTTATGGATATATCATAATAAGACGATATTACACATTTTTCATAGTAAAAATTGTTAATTTTGTTTACTAGTGTTAAAGAATTACTAAAAATTATAATTTTTAAGTTTTTCAATAATGGTTAAAGATATAATAAATTTTATTATAAACGTATTCTGGTCGTATTCGTATCCTACTTTTTTAGGTTTTGTCGTATCACCGTATTCGTATCGTATTGTATCGTACCTGTATCTCGTATCCATATCAGTGCTTCCTGGACAGTAACTCACAAAGATAATTTGCCCTTATTACCTCTGTATCTCTCAAGTTCATTTCTTTCTCCTCCAAGTGATCACATTTTTTTATTCCCTTTTCTTGCTACACGATACCACACTTCTCTTTTTCTTTGTTTTGTGTTTTTTTAAAGAAATGTTATACCCACCACTCTTGGTTTTATCTCGAAAACAATTGTGCTCACCCTCACGGGATACATTTGGCAAACAATTTAGAAACGGTTGTTATAATTGTATGTTACTCTTAATTTTCATTAGTTATGGTGTTCTATCCTTTACAACATGATGATTCTTTGTTTAGTCACCTCTATCCCGTTGGAAAACTAATTTAACCATATTGATCTTTTTGACTTTGATCAACCTTAACTTTGTACTTTGATTTCGCAAGCACAAATGTGATATATGATTTTCATTTTATATATGATTGTGACAAAAAGTACAAAATTTTTAAATTTCCATCATTATAGATTCATGCCAAAAGTTTGTCATATCTCAGTTCACCATTAACAACGAAATTTACTATTCTTCATTCTGATTTATGTTATGTAATTGTATGTCATGCGATGAATACATAGGGAAAATCCCTCATCCCAAACAAAATTAGCACCAAAATGACAAGAATACCCTTATCACTAGAATGTATGAAATTACTTTCCATGACAACTTCTTGACATGGGTTATTGCAAAGTTTTAAGGCGGCCTCGTCGTCGTTATCTTTTCTGATACGATGACAATCTTGAATCGGAGCAGTTGGAACCAAACAATGCACATTGTGGGACTCTATTGACTTACTTTAGAAGGAGTGTTATCCTTCATGTGAAGGGTTTACGTCCAATATCTATCTTTGCATAAGAAATATGTCTATGTCAAAGTTACTAGGAATACATGTTTTGGTGTGTGGAACAAGGTGGGAATGCGATTAGTCACTTACTCTAAAATGTCATGTACTAGGGTAAGCTTTCGTAGATCACATAGTATGTGTTGAGATATTTGGTTTCAAAAATAAATGAGAAATATAATCTAATGGTGTTAAACCATATGTGTGCTCTATGGCTCTGTTGTCCATCTTTAGCTTCAAAAGTGGTTTGTGATATTTAATTATCTTGTCTATATTTTTTTAGAAATAAGAATATTATTGAAATGGGAGTGGCTCTTTATAGAGACTTAGCCCAATGGCTACCACCGAAAGTGCGCTAAGTTAGTCACAGGGAAATTTCCAAGTTCTTTCTAAGCTTCGATTCTATAAACTTGGATGGCTTGTTTGCTTGTATTGCTTGCCTATTCTTTGAATGTGTACAGTTCGAGCAAGCAAATGGCTAGCAGGGCCGAGAAACCACAATGAATGGGACGACAGAAGTTCCAAGAAGCTAGGGCTACAGCTTTAGCAACAAGGCTATAGGCTTGCTAACAAAGCAAGTATTGAAAGACGTGCACCTCGAGCATAGCCCTAAAGGAGGACACGGTTGGCAAAAGATTTGACCAGCAGAACTAAGAGTGGTGAGCCCATTTGGTCATCTGGTCAAAGATGCTTGGGTGAACCTTAACAGCTATTTAAAATCCCATACACGCTTATGCCACGAACTGCAAGCCTACAGCTGGGCACACAATTAGGCAGCGAAACAGTGGTTATATACTACAGTTGTTGATTAGAATGTTATGGTCGTTCAAACCGTAACAAGCAAGTTGTGGTTCCTATTCCATGCGCTGCTAGACACACGAACTTTGGTATAGAAGGGAGCTAACCACGCAACCACTAAATCACATCATTAGGGAAAGGATTGAGAATGCTCAAGCCCAAAACCTAAGCATAATGCTGTTAGGGGCTAGTTTAAGCAGTGGTGGGAGAAGGATATTTCTCGTGGGAAGGTTATAAATATACAAAAATATTAGATTTAATAAAATAGAAGGTAAAGACATGGAATAAAAATGTTTTGGGTATATTAGGGTTAGTAAGAGATTAATTTTGAAAAAAAATGGAAGAAATTGATAAGGTGGAATAGATTAGGGCATTGGATGAGAATATGAGGATGTAAAGATGGGATTAAGCTATAAATTTAAGGAGGTTGTTTTAAAGAAAGAAATGGAGACAAAAGGAAAAAATGAAATGGACAAAAGAAGGTGATAATAATTTTCATTGACAAGTTGAAGTGACAGTGGAGAAATAATGGAAAAGGAAGGAAGAATTGGGAATGAAATTATTGAGTTCTTTGCCAATTTATATTCATATCATGATTGTCTTAGGCCAATTTTGGAGGGTTTGGATTGAACTCACATTGATAATATAAAAGCAAGTTAGTTAGAAAGACCATTTGAGGAGGATGAAGTTAGAAAGACCATTTTTAGTTTATTAAGGATAACACCCTTGGTACGGAAGGTTTCACTATGACTATTTACCAAGGTTCTTGGGTGGTCCTTAAAAAGGATGTGATGATGTGTTCTTGGAATTTTTTTTCATAAAGGGCTGGTTCAGTCACTAATGCTACCTTTATTTGTCTCATGCCAAAAACAGAAAAGAAAAGACTTTGAAAATAAAGGATATTAGGCCAATTAGTTTGGTATGTAGCCTTATAAGATCATTGCCAAAATGTTATCCATTAGAGAAAGAGAGAGTGAATCTTGACGAGACAATTTGGCTAATTACGGTGCATTTGTTAAAGTAAGGCAAATCTTAGATGTCACTCTTTTGGCTAATGAAATGGTGGAGGATCATAGATCTAGTGGGGAGGAGGGACTTGTATTTAAAATTGATTTTGAGGAGGATTATGACTGTGGAGTGATTTTTTTTGGATTGTGTGTAAGAGATGAAAGGTTTTGGGGTAAAGGGAGAAGATGGATTAGGGGGTGTTTGCAGTCAGTGAATTTCTTAGTCATGTTTAATAGTAAACCGAAGAAGAGATTTAAAGCCTCTAGGCAGCTTAGACAATGTGATCCTTTGTTGCCTATTCGTTTCAGTTTAGTGGTTGATGGCTTGAGTAGACTAGTTCTATGAGTTGAGAGGTGTGGTCTTATGGAAATATTTGTGATTGGAAGAAAGAGGATTTTGGTTTCACACTAGATAATACTATCTTTTTTTTTCCCCATCGGGAGAGGAGGAAAAGTTTAACTTAAAAAAAATTAGTGTGTGAATTTTTTTTAGGATTGAAGGTCAATATGAAAAAAAATCTTAATTGTGGGTATAAATCCAAACCAAAGAAGATCAATAGACTAGTCCTTACTTTAGGTTGTTTGGTGGGAAAGTGACACTTAAGTATTCT